TAAATGTGTATTATTGTAGAACTATAACTAGGGGAATACGTGTGTGATTTATCCCTTTTTTAAAAGTTTGCCATGGGAAGTTTTAATGTCCGGCTAATATATTTTATAAACATTTCCCCATATATTAGAAATTTGGATTTGATTATACTTTATTAGTTTTCAAATAGAGCATAAACATATAGACTTGATTACTTTACTGGTGCTGTTATATTTTATAAATATATTGCATGGTAATCAGTTTTGTAACGTACAGGTTTTCCTCAAAATTTCAACTTACCCACTTAAAATGAAAATTACAGCTGCCTGTAAAATTACAACAATCCTACCTCTGTGACTATTGCACCATGCTCCTATCATTAACTAAATATGAAAAAAATCAAGCTGGAATCAGAGACCTGGTGGGTGAATATAGAATCCAGTTTAGGGGATAAACCTTTAACAACCGACACAAGGCCATTGAGAACGTAATCATCTATCCCTATTACAAAGCCTTAGTTTAGAGTTTTCCTCTTCATGTTCTCCTCTCCATATTTTTGCTTCTTGTGTTGCCCACTGTTTGGTTCTAAATGCTTCCAGATTAACATCTTTGTATTATATGCTGTATTTTACGCTAGCCTTTTCTTCCCCTAAGGCTGAGACACATACTATGAAAAATGCTTTGAAACTCAGCTATCATTTAATTGTATAAACTCACAGGTGTTGACGGTCATATATAACTTCACAATAAACTGGAAATATCCCAAGGATAAAAACTCAAAGAATATTTTAAGAGACTGCCTATGTGTTTTAGAGAAATTTATTTGAATTACTATTTTATAAATATGATAATAAAGGGTTATTTTCGTGAACAAATAGATTAATCGTTTGTAAACACACTCTGTTCTGACTACTGCTTTAAGTCTCTAGAAATACTTTTTATTCCTTTTTTATTTTTTTAACTAACCTGTGAGTTCTTTGTCAAAATTAATTTAATTTCTTGAGTTAGAAAATTAGTTTAGTCCATTTCTAGAGTTTAGTTTGTTTTTAAGGTGGTTGTACTTTAACAAACTTTTGAAACTAAGGTCTCTATATATTAAGATGTAATTTTACTATGTGATGAAGATTATAGATGAAAATTTTAAAAAGAGCTACAAAACAGCAGAGAAATTTCTAAATGCTGAGTATGAGAGAAAACACTGCAGAAATGTGATTTATGATGACACACAGAGAGAAATACTAGCCTCTTTTCCTGAGCTTCCATTATCTTGAAGTTGGATGCTCCAAAAATAGCAAGAGGCTTGAAGCTGCAATAGCTTATCCAGTCATCTCTCTCCTTAGTTACTATCTTGAGATCTCACAAAAGCAGGTTGTGCAAGTGACATCCATAATGGTCTGCAGAAATTACAGTTAAAGCTAAAGTTATAATGCATGTTCATAGCCAGCTGGTGGCCTAAGTTATCACTGTAAGCTGTCTCAAATGCCATGAGGACACTATTTCAGACACTCAGCTACTAAAAAGAGAATTGTGTGACAAAAGCTAGGTTTCTGATTCATTCATGGGTTGGTGAATTCTTAGCAAAATTTGAGCATGTGTCCATAGTATGTCAGCACATATTCTGGAAGTGCAGATCTTAGCAAAAGGTCTTGTGCGGATTTTGAAGGAAACTAGATTGCTTGATGATGCAGAAGACGTGATTGCTGAAGCTATTCTGTCTTTCTCCAAGCTGTTAGTTTGTCAGGTATCATTTTACAGGAGTTTGCATAGGTCCTCGTAGGAGATATCTTCTATAGTACAGGAAGAATCTTGGTTTTAAAATGATCCTTAAATCTTGATTATGAATATCTGTTTCAACTGTATGAGAGTTTCTTATATGCATATAACATGTTTGATCAAATCCCCTCCCATCCTGTCTTCAAATCTTTCTATAACCCCCTTTGATTACTTTCACCTACCAATGTCATCTGCTCTTCTGTTGTTTGTTTTTTAATTCTGCTGAATCTACTTAGTGCTGCCTTCCCATTTAAATGCATGCTTGTAAGACTATCTACTGAACTGTGCAGGCTTTCAGAAGCCACATCCATAAAAAGAACTCGTTTTCTCTCACTAGCACCATAAGTTGCAATGGCTACGTCTAGGGCTTTTCTCAATGTAAGGGATGTCAAGGAATTGTTCCACTTTGAAATTGGCCCAGGGTATGATGACAGTTAAGACTGGAGAAGTAGGGCAGATATCATTTTATGGTTCTTCGGAATCCTACATCTAAGAAGCTGAGACTTTTTCTTGAACAATGGAGAAAATTGCTCTGGGAGTTTTTTTTTTTTTTTTTTTTTTTTTGTAGTAGAGAAATGAGGCTATTTATAACATTGAAAGTCAGCAAGTCAGCCCTGGTGACAGGGGTAGACTACAATTCTATTTTTGTTGAGTACTTGGTCGATGATACATTTTAATAGGGAAAGTGATTACATGAGAATGGGACCAATAAAGGGAAAGAGGAAGCAGAAAGAGATTTAAAAAAAAAAAAAAAAAAGTGCAGCGTTAGCCTTTGGAGGCTTTTATTGGGTCTTCTAGGTGTTGGTGTCTACATTTGTACTCTAGATCTGGAGAGAAGCCAGGCTAATAAGCAGATCGGGAAACATTAATTTAATAATGTTTTGTTAAATGAGATGAACGAAGAGGAAGAGTTTACTTAAGGAAAGAATGAAAACAAATCAGAGAACTCAGCACAGAACTCTAGAAGTCACAAACAATAATGATAAGGAAATCTAACAGGGAGAATATCCTTTTATACATTTTGCACTAGAACAGTTTTTATTTTAACCCGTAAAAAGCAAATTGCTTTGTCAAGGAATGCCTCGTCTTTTGAAGTATTTAATCCTAGACCGTTAAACTACTTGTATAAAACTTGTTGAAATATAGTGTTTTATAAATATACTTTATTTTATGACTTATCAAAATATTTTCATTTAATCTCTACAGCATAAAACAAAATATAATATCTGAAGTTATGGCACTGTTGGATTATGTATAGTTTAAGAGTTACTTTGGGAATGGTGATTCTTAGGTACCTCTTGAAGCAGCATCTGCTGAGTCATTGTAGGGCCAAGTCCTTTGGGGTTTCACATTGCTCACTTCAGGATTTAAGAAGAGTAAATAATGCCCTATAATATTGGAAGGCAGGGTGACTTTAGAGACTGCAAACCATAGTTGAAGTATCAGATATTGATCAGAAAGGACCGTACTTGTGAACTCATGAGTGTGGATACTATTGCAACAAAAGTGACCTATATACAACAAAGTAAATGCTTTTGGGAAGATGAGGGACCAAAGAGAGGCAGTCATTTTTGAGAAGTAAAGAATGTCATGTTTTATAGGGTTCATGAGAATTTTAGACTGGTCAGGAATTCTTCAGTTGTAAATCTGAGTTCAGTTATGTGTTCATTTCAGTTTTTATAAGATCTATTTGTCTTAGTCATGTGTAATTAAATTCTCAAAAAAAAAAGTTGTTATACATAAAGTTATCGACCTCATTTAACAGATGATGAAATAGACAGAAGGAGTAGGTGGTTGTCTTAGTTACGGTTTCTATTTCTGTGAAGAGACACTATGACCACGACAGTTCTTATAAAGGAAAACATTAAATTGTGTTGGCCTACTTACAGTTTCAGCGGTTCAGTCCATTATCATGACAGGGAGCAGGGCAGCAAGCAGGCAGCCATGGTGCTGGAGGAGTAGCTGAGAGACCTACATCTTACAGGCAACAGGAAGTCAACTGAGACACTGAGCAGTATATGGAGCACAGGAAATGTCAAATCCCACCCCTTCCATGACACACTTCCTCCAACAAGGCCATACTCACTCCAACAGAGCCACATGTCCTAAATGTCCTAATAGTGTCACTCCCTATGAGAGTATATTTATTGTTCATAGCACAAAGTCTAGAGGTAGACACTATGGCTCTCCCCTTGCCTACCATGGTTTGTGTCATCAGACACTTGGATCTATTGAGTCCAGTTTTTTTTTCCCTAAACATTGTCTCTTCAACTTTTAACAACACAGTCATCAATTTAAGGTAAAAATTTGTATTTTTGTGGATGAAGTATTGCTTGGGTTAAGTAATCGTTTCTTATAGTTCTTTGAGCAAAGTATTTGATTTAAAAAATAAAATGGTTGTGGGTTTAGTGGGATGGATTAGTGGTTAAAGGCACTAGTTTATATGTTAAAAGACCTAAGGTGACAAATGAGAACAAATCCCAGAATTACCTTCTGGTATCTGATATCATGCTATGGCATAAATCAATCAGTCTACACACACACACACACACACACACACACACACACACACACACACACACACACATTCCATTATATAAATTGTTAAACTAACTCAAGAATGTTCAGGAATTATCAGATGTTTTTAAGGATTTGGGGTTTTACTAGAACTTAATTTTAATTTGTGGTACACAGCATTCTTTAAACAATATTTTATTGTGAACTTTTAAACATTGTACATTACTAGGTATCCAGAATAATGTAAGAGTCATAAACTCATACATGTTTTTAATAAATTCCTTTTCAAAATATTTGGTTTAAAAGAATGAATTAGAGTTGACCAAACTCTCATTTTGTTTTTTTCTGTTCTGAAGAAAGGAATCTTACAAATGAAACTTTTAGTTTATTTAATGTTTTCATGGTCAGTTAAAGATTAAGGTTCTATAAGATAATATAATATTATTAAATATTTAAATACCTATAGTGTCTAACATCTCACAACATAACTTTAAAGTTAGCAATATTGCATTTTTGCTTTAAGCAGTGTGCTGCGTTATTTTGTAGGGCATCCATTATCAAAACTCGCGGCATATATGTTGCATTATCATAATTTTCTGATTAATTTGTTCTTTATATATGTTTGTGTGTTTCAATTGCATTTCATTAGCTCATAACTTTCTTGTAAGTTTGCACTTTCTTTCCGTGTCCAAAGAATCCCTTTAATTCAATTTCTCTGTTTCTCCTCATCCAGTCTGACAGCCAGATATGCAGCTCAGTGTAATCACAGTGGAATTGCAACCAGTCAGAAAAAGCCTACTAGGTCAGTTCACGTCTCTAATCTATTGTTTGTTAGTGATGTTCAAATAAATGCCAGTGATACTCTGTGCAACCACTTTTTATTTTCCAAAGCATGACATACTTTGAAAAGTACTCACTTTCATGCACCCACTTCTCCCAAGTGGATTTCCACATGGAGACTTTGGGATGAGCATGTTAGCTGATTAAATGGGTTTAGAGGTCTGGCTATGATTGTGATTTAGTGGTGCACAGTGATATGGTGGGCTAAGCTGTGTCCAGAACTTAGTGTAAGTGAGGAAAATGTGACCTTGAAAGTCCTTTGGCCTCAGAGTTATACCACAAGATTTTTAACTAATGAAATTGGCCTGTGTTAGTTACCTCTTGTACACTTTAAGAGCAGAATTGGGTTGGACGATTTATGGTGGGGAAATTAACCTAGGATGATATTCTACACAGAGTAACTTAAACTTTGTGGTTTGTTAACATATGTATTTCAAGATAAATATGTATTTATGCTTTTTACAAAACAATGATATATAAAATACTGGAAGAGCTTTATCTTTGCTCATATTGTCGATAAAGGAATAATGATGATTCAAGTCAGCTGTTTGGACTCTGATATGTGCTGCTGTGAGTACTGCCCTCCCCTGAGGAGCTACCAGTTGATATGTTAGTCATTGCTTCAGACATGAATCAAGATGCCCAATGCTTTGCCATCGCGGTTAATTCTGAAGGCTCAATGACATTAGTGCATTTCCCGTGCCCTTTAAAAACTGAAACAAAAGAAAATCATGAATTTCCACAGTAGTAAAACTTACTTTGGAGAGAAACAAGTTTAAACTTGATTAAAGTTACACAAACGACATAAATTACTATATGTGAGGAAAGTTGACCAGTGAGCACCTTCCTGACTCCGGCAAAGACGTGGGCATATGTGACATTTTCTACGTGCTTTGTCCTAATGGAACTTTTCTGTCACCCAGTCTTTCTATCTCTCTTTTTCTCCATCTCATTTCCCCTTTTGTTGCTATGATGAGTGATCTGGAGGCTCTGGCTGCCTGTCAAATTAGGGTAATGAGAAGAGCAAATGTATCTTTTAATTTGTTTTAATTTGTTCTTCTGAGGACTGAAGATCACTTAACTTCATGGGTCACAGTAAAGATTAAAATGCATCTTAATTGCCTTCTAGAAGTGGGTCAAGTTTCATTGCAAACAGGGCAAGCTTGAGGACAAAATGTTTACGCACAAGTTTGGAATGGATTTCAAAGTCTATGGTTATGTCTACAGAAATTGCTCTCATATTTATTGGGATTGGGACATTTGGTCCAATTAATTAATAGACTTCTATCTCTAGTCATTGGTTTTGTAACCTCCTAGTGTCTGTGCTTATGATGTTGTAGTGACAACCCCTTGTGTAGCTGCCTGAGAAAAAAAATGAAAAGCTGGAACCATTTGGAAAAGATTCTAATCTTGTATATGACACAACCTCAAACTAGCAGAAGAGCTGGAGAGACTATTTATTAGCCACATGTGTTTGAACTCTAAATTGCAGTAAAAATGTGAAAGTCTTAACCGTCTCTAGCATCAATGCAGTTTTTGTATTTGTATTTTCCTGATGCCCATTGCATTTTGCAGTTCCAGTATTATAAAAGTTTTGTTTATTTTGGGAGGGTATTGTTTTATGAAATCAGATAGTACAGTAGAGCTGTGTTCAAATCTGACGTGCAATTTGGACATTTAACAGTTATGAAAAAACTATTTAAATTTTTTTACTTAAGAAAAAAGAGCTGGGAATAGATCAGCACTGTGTTTCTTATGTTTTGGATTGATCCATCCTTCTTTGCAAGCAGGAATTTTCAGGGCAGTACACAATCTCATCCACACGGTGGCAGCACACGCCCACAATGCTTGCAGTGTTATGCCATGTCTCAATAGTGTCAGTGCTAGCCCTTAAGTTCCAGGCTTTATTCCATGAGGGTTGAGCTTATGATACATATGTAAAATGCAATAGTGATGTAAACTGAAAATTAGGTACTGCTCATGAACTAATTGACAGGTGAAATTTCAAAGAAAAAAAAAAATAGATGTAAACTGACCCAAACTGAAACTTAATGGTAGCCTTAATGAAAAAGTGTCAGGTTACACATGTCTGTCAAGCTGTGCTGATGATGAGAGAGATGGCATCCATTTCCACGTGTCTTGTTCTTCATACACAAAAAACCACCAAAACTGCTTTCACTCTTGGTGTATTTAAACTGTGATTCTACTCACAGTGATTTTTCTCCCTCTGATGTTAGCATCCCTTTATGTCCTATATGTCATGAGGTGACAAGATGTGAAATCCACCAACATATATCTCAGTCCTCTTTTTGACAAGAGAATAAAAATCTCTTGGAGACAGCCAAGCTATGAATAATATAATCATGATCTTGGTCATAGCACTGTGATTTTAATGTGACTTACAAGCTTAAACTTAGCTAGTCAAAGTATCATTGCTGTTTGCCTTTTGTTCAGTAATTTATTCTTGCCATGAATTTTCAAATCTTAGGAAAAGCTACATTAGCTAGAAATGTGTTCCATACACTGAAAGAAACATTTTACCAAATGCAAATAGCTAAGTAACATGCTAGGAGTGTTATAAGGTCAAATGTCATTGTTACTCTTGTCATATACTTTTGCGGTATTTTTTAATATAAACTTTATTTGACTAAGGATATTTTTATAGTTAAAGGGCCACTTTGTTTTCATTTTACTATGTTTTCTTATTAAGAAGGAAACCCAGCTTTCTCCCCCAGTCTCTTTCTTCCCTGCCCAGCTGTTTGCCCCTTAAACCATCATTTTCGGTTGAGAAGGTCATAGACGACCCTGTATTGTGGGTTTCCCACCAAGTCTTCCTTGCTCACACTTCCCTTCTCCTTAGGATTTGAAGTGTACAATAATGATGTAATTGTTCTCATGCTATTTCAGGCTTCCGGGGCCCTCTAGGGTACCAGCTGGGAGCAGCAGCAACAAGGCTCAAGGTGCCTCCAATCTGAATAGGAGAAGTCAGAGCTTTAACAGCATTGACAAAAACAAGCCTCCCAGTTATGCAAATGGAAATGAAAAAGGTAAGTGTGCACATCTGTCCCATCACTCTGCCCCGAGTCTGACGTATGTCTCGTGGATTGGCTCACGAATGTTGAGAATTGAACAGTGGAGCATCTTGGGGACTGGAAGGTATAATCAGAGGAGTTTCCTCACCACACTATCATGAATCATTCCTCCCTTCTGGACCTGTCTTTTCTGCAGAACATTTCAAGGAAATGAGTTCATGTATTTTAAAGTAGAGTGTTAATTATAGAGCCAAGCATCAAGTCTGTTTCACAAAGAGGTACCCCAGATGTATATAAATAGAGTCTTCTTGTGCCTTTCGTGTTTCATGAAAATGTACCCTGAAATCAAAAAGCTGTCTTAAATTGATTTGAGTTCTTATGTCAGCTCACCTAAGTGACAAAAATGCAGGGAGCATTTAAGGTAGATGCATCAAAAGTTGAGATACAGCAAACGGGCTGTGGTAGTGTCTACCTGTCATCCCTGGACTTGGGAGGTTAAGGTAGGAGGGTTGTTGCAAGTTTGAGGCCAAAGGGAGCTACATAGTAAGTTCCCAAATAGGCAAGATGGCAGCATATTGGTGCATTTGAAAACAGTAAGAACCACCAATGTGGGTATGCATTTATGGTAATAGGTGTTTGTCTTTGAATGACTGATTTATTTTTATTTTATGTGCATTGGTGTTTTGCCTACATGTATATCTATGTGAAGATGTCAAATCCCGTGAAACTGGAGTTACAGACATGTGGGTAGAGCTGTCATGTGGGTGCTGGGGATCGAATCTGGGTCCTCTGGAAGAACAGCCAGTGTTCTTAACCACTGAACCATCTCTCCAGCCCCAGTAGTTAAGGTGCAGGCTCAGAACCTGGAAGGAATGTGAACCTTATGCCCAAATCCTAGGGAAATAAAAATGCTGTGCTTTGTGAATTCTGTGGCTGTTGGAGCATTGCTTCCCAATCAGTAAGATGTCCTGTTTTTCTTCGTAGTAACCCACCCAGTGTAGTGTAGTATATGAAATTAGGAAGTGATTTGTATGTTTAGTCAGGAGAACTGTTGGAAAGCTTAATATAAACAGTTGAACCAAGCATGAGCTCTTTTGCAGAGGTTAGATGATTATCATTTGTGTGGAACTAGACATTATTCTCTTCCTCAGACATAAGTTGACAGGTACAGTTTTGAAGGAGACACTGTTTTGTGAGACTCTTTCCTTTTGACTATGGTGAATTTTAGAAGATTCTAACCCCTGGATAGCAAATGTCTTAATGACTGCAATATGGTGTGTCTTTTGAAGTCTGAAGCTTTAAAATTGAGAACAAAGTCTCCTTTTGTAGACAAATGATTGAGCATTCACTGAATCCTAAATGACCAGGCAATTTCAAAATTTTAATGAAAAAGTTATTGCTGGTGTAATTGTGAGCACCATTAGCTTTCATAGTATTCTGAAATCTGCCTTCGTTTTACCTTCCTTATTGGCTTTCTTAATCCATATGCTTCCAATGAACATTTTAAAACAAGGAAAGAACATTGTCTTTAGTAATCAACCCAAAGGAGATTCAATTATTTTTATAATGTTTAATACCACACATATACTTACTTTCCAAACCCAAGTTTAATTACTCTTCCTTAGCTGGGGCTTGATGATTTTGAACATTCTGCTTTTTATTTTCATTTAAATAAAAGAATTCCCTTAAAACTTTTACTTTTCTTGGTAAGACGGGAAATGGAAATGACCATTTCTAGTTGGAAATAAACATTTTCCAGCCAGGCTGTGGTGGCACTCGCCTTTAATCCCAGAAGTTGAGAGACAGAGGCGAAGTTCCAAGACAGCCAGGACTGTTAACACAGAAAAGTCCTTTCTTGAAAAACAAAAACAAACAAACAAAATAATTACCCACATTTTGTGATCTTAGAAAGTGTTGTATAGATTCAAGCTAATTCTACAAGTTATGCCATACAGTTTGTAGAGGAGACTAGCAAGAAGCTGGAAAACAGAGGTAAATTACATGAACTACCACTGTTTACTTAAAATACTCATGCTGCCATATACATATATGTATATATGTGTATATACGTATACATGGTACCATATATATATATATATATATATATATATATATATATATATATTATACTAGTCTCTACACACTCACATGCAAAACTGATACTAGAGGAGGTTGAGAAGTGATCTAAATTTTTGATAAAGTGATAAAGTGATATCAGGAAGCATCTGTCTTTATTTCTAATATCTCAGAGTAAAACTCCAAAGAGGAATAACCACTCATGTTCTTCCATGTATGTCTAGAAATTTAACATTCGTACATAGCAATATTTCTAATCACCACAAGATGGAGACAGACGCAATGCAACACATGGCCTTGGTCACTTAATAGAGAAAACAGTGAGAGAATGTAGTGAATTGACTTTTAGTTTTAAATAAAGCTAACTGAAATCATCAAGATATTTTGAAGCATGGGTCGCTTATCCTCTTTGGGCGAGGAAGTTGTAGGGGAGGGATGTAATTCATAACCCAGATCATGAGGAAATATGGAAGCTACAATTTGCAGATTGGTTTTTATAGATTTATAGACATTTGTTAGTCATAAAATGTGGGCATTAAGTGTCAATAAATTGACAGTAAATTTAGATAGACTCACATGATACATAATAGTCATCTGGTGTCTTGTTTTACGTGTACAATGCATTTTCTGTTATTTGTCTCATTGGATGCAATGCCAATTCATAATTGTGCTAAAGTGTATGTGTATTTCTATTACCTTATCTTGAAGTAGAAGAACAAACAAATTATAACCTCTGTATCCGAGTAAGTGCTGCAAACTTTCCACTGAGATGTTCAGTTTGAATGCTTTGATATAAGGATTTTGTAGTATTTACATGGCTTAGTTATCTTTCTGTTACTGTGGATGCCATGACAGAGGCAACTTATAGAAGAGAGAGTTTACTGGGATCTTAAAATCAGAGAAGGCAAAATTTATTTAATAATTTTACATACCAACCAAAGTGTCCCCTCCCTCCTTTCTTCCTGTTCCCATATTTCCTTTCTAACCCCCCCCCCACACACACACCATCCACTCCTCAGAAAGAATAAGGCTTCCCATGGGTAATTCTTACAAAGGGAAACATTTAATTGTGAGGTTCAGTCCATTGTCATCATGGTGGGACATGTAGCATGCAGATAGACATGGTGATGCAGAAGGGAGCTGACCTTTGTTCATCTTGCAAAGCAATAAGAAGTCTGAGTCACTGGGCATGGCTTGGGCTTATATGAGACCCCACAGTCCGCCTGCCTCCACAGTGACACACTGCCTCCAGTAAGGCCACACCTAATACAACAAGGGCACACCTCTGACTAGTGCCATTTCCTATGAGCTTCTGGGCACCAACTATATTCATACTACCACATTCCACTCCTCGTGCCCCGTTAAGCTTGTTACAATATCATAATACAAAATGCATTTAGGCCAGCTTCGAAGTCCTCAGAGTTTATCACAGTTTCCACAGTGCTTTAAAGTCCAAATTTCAAAGTCTCTTCTGAGATTCATGCAGTCTCTTAACTGTAATGTCCTATAAAATCCAAATCAAAAAGCAGGTCACATACTTCCATCATATACTGGATATATAGATAGATAGAGAGCGGGGGGGGGGGGAAGAGAGGGAGGGAAGGAGGCAGAGAGAGAGAGGGGGGGAAAGAGATTTGGTCCAATATACAAATATATATTGGACCAAAGCAGAATCAAAAACCAGCTGTGCAAACTCCCAACTCTGCATCTCCATGTCTGATGTCTTCAGGTTTCCAACTCCTTCCAGCTTTGTTGACTGCACACACTTCTTTCTCTTGGGCTCATTCCAGTCCCTGTTAGCTGCTCTCCCCAGCAGGTATCCCATGACTGGCATCTCTTCATCGTGGGGTCTCCAAGGCAACCCTGGCTTCAGTTTCACAACTTCACACACAGTGACCTCTTTGGGACTCCATTGGGTCACCCCTGAGACATGCCTGGCCTCAGCAGCTTTCTTTAGTCACAGAGGAATATTACATAACCCTTTTCTCCTGTCCTGGACCCTAAAGCCAGAACCACGTGGTGTGGCTGAAGCTGCCAAGTTCTGCTGCTTGCTGGGCCAGGAGCACATCCCCCTCAATTAATTACATATTCATCGGCTTTCTGTTTTCAGTGGTTTCCTTCACTGCCTATGTTTGGCTGTCCTGAAACTGGATCTGTAGACCAGGCTGGCCTTGCGCTTAGAGATCTTTCAATTACATCTTCACCAACACTCTGGTTTTGATGTTTACCTTCATTGTCTACGTTTGGCTGTTCTGGAACTTGCTCTGTAGACCAGGCTGGTCTCAAACTCAGATCCCCAACCTCTACCTCGGGAGTGCTGAGATTAAAAGCATGCACCACACCACCCATCTCTGAGCTTTTCTTTAATTGTTTCTCACAGGTTGGAAAGTTAGCTGGGTGGGATCTCCCCTCGAGGTCCCCACCTCCCTTTATTCCATTTCTTAAATCTATTTATCCCCTTCAACATGGGATTTAGCTCCATTCCACTTCCTGCTGCTCGTTTTCTCCTCAGATTTTATATTTTGCACTTTCCCTTGCTCAGCTTACTCCTTCTCATTAGAAATCTACATGGCAGAATCTATACACTAATATCCACATGGCAGAATCTATACGAGGCTGTTTTGAGATTCCCTCTGCCAGTAGAATTAATCCAACACTCTTCGCTTTAGCCTCAGGCAGCCACATTCTTCACCAAAATATCGCAAGGAAGACCTCTCGGCAACATAATCAAATTCTTCTCCTCTGAACCTCTTGAGCCAGGGCTGCACAGTTGCAATAGCTCTGAGCACACCTGTCTTCCATGTTCCTACCGGCCCATTAAGCAGCAGTCAAATCATTCCACTGCTTTCCTTACCCAAACACCCGAAGTCCATATTATTCCAAACACAGCCATGGTCCAGCCTATCACAGAAATACCTCAGTCAGTCCCTGGTACCAAC